AAGCATTTCTTAAAGTGTTTTTTGTCAAGTCCTTTCAATGTCATAAAATCAGTCATCTGATTAACGGATAACATTTGAAATGGACAACTAAATACTATACAAGCATGCATGCTACCACTTGCTGTGCTTTGTGCTTTGTAATGTAATTGGTGTGTATCTTGAGTCGAATCAAACCAAATCATAGTATTTTAATTGCATCTATAGAGATTTATAATTAGCATGTGTCACTATACTCATAATATGTATGTTGCGGGTCAAATAATACGAGAATAACATTTTCAAATAATAATTTCCTCTGCTTCGTCCTTTTTTCTAAATGATGAATCAGAACTATGGTTTTACCAATGTTTTGTAATAGTAAGGATAAATAGATTTAAATTTGATTCAAATATCGAAAAAAAGCATGTCATATAAAAATGGGGCAAATCCTACGGTTTTATTTACGTTATTTTAGATGTTTACTACTAGGAACATGTAATTACTTTAGCACATGCGTTAGAAGTGAAAGAGATTTAACAGTATTATTCTGACAAACAAAGACTTTTTGTCAGATCTTTTGTTTTTTTGATGCAATTCATTTTTGATTATGTTAGTTCTACTGTTAGTAATTATCACATTGATTATTCCAGTATCCAAAATGTGCAAGCTTGTTTGAATGAAGAATGGAAAGTCAACGGCTGGATTTCACTCACTTTAAGTAATAAAAAATGTGTACTATTGAAGTTCAACAACGGAATATTTACGGATCATGGATTTGTGGTCAATGAGCAGAAAGTGTTGAAAGTGTTTGAAAATCATCAAATGGGTGATATTTCTTATGATGATGATTTCATAGTAGAGGGAATAGTGGATTTGGATCATGGAAGTCGATTTGAAGGCATGGTATTGACTAACAAAACAGGTAAAATAGGAATTCCATTTGGATATGGTGAAATGTATGATGATGATGGATTACACGTATACAAGGGGATAATGATCAACTGGAAACGATTTGGATATGGAACGAGTTATCATAATAACGGAGGGATTGACTATGACGGATATTGGTGTGATGATAAGCGATATGGAAAAGGTAAAGTATATGATCGCAGAGGCAGGCTTATGAAAGAATGCAACTGGTATAATGGAGAGGAAGGTATTGTTTATGAAGGAGATGGCTCAGAACCAATGAATATCGGAATGAAACATTTGAAACTGATCAACAATTGTATTTTGGTTGAATGTATTGTTTCACTGTTTTATGAGTTGGAATCAATCGAAATCGGCGACAACTGTTTTGAATCAGTGCAAACATTTAAAATCGATGGATTGAATCGATTGAAAACTATCAAAATAGGAAGCAATTCATTTACTCAAAATAGAAATCATCATGATAATAACCAACGGAAGTCATTCCACGTATTGAATTGTGAATCATTGGAATCGATAGAAATTGGGGAATACAGTTTCAGTGATTTCGCTGGCGACTTTGAATTGAAGAATCTACCGCAATTACAAGACATCCAAATTGGTACAATTGGTTGTGAATCAAGCAATTTCTATTATGGTTCGTTTGTAATTGGAGGTAATGAACTAATAGTGATTGGTAATGAATAGATCTTCCTAATCTACAATCCATTACTTTAGGAAATCGTGCATTTCGGAGATCTTTATCAACTATAATGGAGAGTATTTATTCTTCGGGAATACAGTTATTGATGTAGATCTTCCATCATTGCAGTCCATTTATCTCGGTACTTTAGCACTTTTTGGCGAAAATGATTCATCTTGTTCTTTAATAATGCGAAGTACAAATAAAATAGGTAATTGTGATTGTTTTTAGATCTTCCAAATCTAACTTATTTAAGCAGTTCAGGAGGAGAGTGTTTTGAGTGTCCTCGTTCAGTAACATTGGAAAGTATTTTGGAAATCATGCTGATTTCTAAATATATAGATATTCCAAATCTTCAGAATGTCTATTTGCCTAATTCATTCATGGAAGTAAAGTCGAAATTAATATCGAGTATTATTTGGCTGATTATGTTTGATTGCTAGATGTTTCTCCTATTCTCGCTGATCGTGTTAAAACCATGCAGTGGTCGTTCGGGCATTGAATCTATCCACTTCGTTCCATGTGATGCGCTTAGTTTTGTATTTTTATTGTAATGTTATGTAATCTATGTTTAACTGTATGTTTACACTATACCCTTTATCCTTATTCTCTGGTTATTGGTTTAGTATTAATTGACTGTTATCTATTATTATGATTACAAATATGATTAGTTTGACGTTCTTGTTCTAATCCTTGGTGTGATCAAAGAAAAGAATGGTAGATTAATCGAAAAAATAAACTACAACAATCGAGTAGGAATAAAAGTGAAAGTAGAATAATGGTGTACTTGACATATCACATAATGAATTATAAACGATCGAATTGACAATATAAAGTGAATTTATTGACATTTAGGATGAATTGTCTATAATCCTTCCAGACTACCGATAATAGTAATTTAGCCATTATTATACATGTAATATGTCATAACATATAAATATGTTTTATTTTGGTACGAAAGAATGTAAATGGTAATATGTCAAACATAAGATGCTCTTAAAGATATTAGTGGAAATCATTATTTCTTTTAGTATGGTCAACAATTTACATTGTATAAATACAGAAATATCGCTCATAATATAGACTCATCAAAACAACACAGGGAATCAAGGTATTTACTCAACGACTACATCACCTCTCAAAAGAAGAAGATTTCCATTAATGGAGTCGATTATGAAGTAACCCTATATCAAGGAGATCATTCCAATGAATATTTGTTGAGTGAAATGAAAAATGGGAAAGTTGAAGGTCGATGTCAATTATTCAATCGTGGGATTTTGATTCTTGCATGGATGATGAAAAATGGGAAACGAATGGGTGGAGTGACAGAATATAAGAATGGTAAAGCATTACAAAGAGAGAACTGGGATTCGATTGTTGGAAATGATGGAGATCGAAGAAGAATCGAAAATAGTAAAGAAGGATTGATCATGACAATTCGATGTAAGTGTGAAAATGATGGAGAGAATGATGATGATGACGTGGTGATCTATCGAGGTGGATTTGATGAAGAAATGAATCGAGATGGTTATGGAATCGAATATGATAGAAATGATGGTAAAGAGAAAGTTGAAGGATATTGGTCGAAAGACAAATTGATTCGAATGATTCGTGAATTTGATGTTGACAATAACCAAATGATCGAATACGCTGAAAACAATGATGATAATGGAAATGATGAAATATTGAATCGAATTCCAATCTATATAGGAGGATATAGTATTGAAAATGGTCAATTTGTACGAAATGGATTGGGATATTTGATTGATGAAGCCAGTGGAACAGCAATTCGTGAAAGTGAATGGGAACATGGGTTAGAGAAGAAAGAAGGAATCGACTTGTATGAAGGTTGGTATGTGAAAGGAATGAATGAAAGTATTCGAAGCATATTGAAGAATGAAAATCCAAGAGAAATGAAAACTGAACCACTTGTGGATGTGCCTCCAAAACGAAATGAAATCAGCAATAGTTCTGAATTAAATGAAATGGATTTGCAAGTAACTGAATTGGTGATATGTTCGAATAGTTGTAATGATCTAAATGCATTGAATCTGAACAAATTCAAATGGTTGGAATCCATTGAAATCGGCGATAATTGCTTTGAATCAGTTCAAACATTGAAAATTGTTGGATTGAATCGATTGAAAAGTTTGAAAATCGGAAAGGATTCGTTTAATAAGCTAGGAATTAGTTTTTTGAGTAAGAGACATCCTGACGAAGATTGGAAAAAAGGAAGTGACCAATCGAAATCATTCCATATATTGAATTGTGAATCATTGGAATCCATTCAAATTGGACAATATAGTTTCAGTGATTTTGGAGGCGACTTTGAATTGAAGAATCTACCACAACTACAATCCATTCAAATTGGTGTAATTGGAAGTAGTTCAAGCAATTTCTATTATAGCTCTTTTGTAATTCGAGGTATTGATATGATATTGAATATTTGAATGATGCATAGATCTTCCAAATCTACAATCCATTACTTTAGGAAAACGGACATTTTCGAAATCATTATTCACAATAATAGAAAGTGTTTAATTATTGGAATAGAAATGATTGATGTAGATCTTCCATCATTGCAGTCCATTCAACTCGGTGAAGAATCATTAGCTGGAAGATACAATGATGCATCATGTTCGTTAAAAATGAAAAGTATGGATTATATTAGGTGTGATGACTGAATGCAGATCTTCCAATTCTAGCATCCATTATCAATTCTGTAGGATGGAGTTTCTGTTGTCCTCGCTCAGTGACATTAGAAAGTACAAAAATATACTTATTAGTGATAGTACTTAGATATTCCAAATCTTCAAACTGTTAATCTACCTAGATCGTTCGGGAAAGTTGAATCAAAATCAATTTCTTGTATGGTTTGATTGATTTCATATGATTCATAGATGTTTCACCCATTCTCGCTGATCTTGTCAACTAAATCAAGCAGTAATAATACTAGCATTAAATCTACACACTTATTTATTTTAATATCACCATGAATTCTTTTTGGGAAAGGTATTTTAAAAGCTAATAAGTGCATTCAATTTGTTTGTTCATCCAAATAGATAAGTTTAAATTAGTTGAATGGGGAATGAATACTATTAGTTGAATGAATCAGTGTTGTTTATAAATAATGGAGTGAAATAGAATGGAAAAGTAGAATCTAAAATACAATAAAATAGCAAAAGAACAGCATCGAGACTTCTCAGCGAGTCACCCACACTGGTACTAACTCGACTCGTGATGACTTAGCTTCCTAGATCGGACGGGTTAGGGCGCTTTCCATCAGATATGGCCGTTCTCATTTTATTATTATTCAATTGCCTATTTAAACATCACATTCTTATCATCATTCACTCACACTCCATTTCAATACTACCCATTTCTTTTCATTTGCTTAAACAAACACATCTCACCGCACTTCTTTCACCCTTCATCGTGTCATCAACAGACTAGCACAAAGAATCAAAATACTACGAAAAAACTCTGTTCAGACTACGATCTGCATCCAAAGAACCAGCATCCCCGTCCCACGTCCTCCTCATACTCCTCTTCCATTTCATACTCATAGTTCTCTTCGAAATCCTGCTCCAATCCTTCCAGCACGCTGTCCTGCGGCTCCATCAGCTCCGCATTGCCCTCCACACGCGGCACTCCCAGCGAATCCAGCTGCGTCGCCGACTTCGTTTCGCTTTTCCGCATGATCGACGTCGCGCTGCTCACCACCGCCGCTTCTTTTCCCGCCAAAACCGGCTTCGCCTCCATTTCCTCGGCATTGCCCACTACCACCTCGGCATTGCCCGGCTCCGTCTCCGCGATGAACGGCAGCCCGCCAATATTTTCCCGCGAATTTTGCCACTCCTCCATCGTCTGCACTTCCGCGCGGTTCCCCGCGGGAATCGAGACGACCGTAACCGCAGGAACCGCGGGGAACTCGGCCACCGCGGGGAGCGGGGCGTCGATGGGCTGGAGCGGAACCGCGGGAATGGTGTCGGGAACCGCGGGGAGCGCGTCGACGGCGGGGACGATAACCACGGGGGCGGTGGGGGTCTGGGCGGTTCCCGCGGGGATGGGTAGCTCGGCCTCGGCCTCGATCTCGACCTCGCGGTTCTGGAACCGCGGGGAATCGGTGGGTGTGGTTCCCGCGGGGGAGCTGTGGAAGGGCGGGAGGGAGTCGTTCTCCGCGGGGAGCTCTGCGTGCTCGGGGAGGAGGGGCAGGGGCTTGACGACGAATCCTTCCCCGCGGTGATCGTTGAGGACGTCGTCGTCGCCGATAATGGCGTCGAGCTCGCGCATCTCGTTGCCCGAGAGCCGGCGCAGCGTCTCCATGCGCAGCTGCGGCACTTCCTCGGGGTCGAACAGGTCCGAGCCCTCCGAGTCCGCCTCCCTCGCCGCAGAAGCATCCACAGGGGCCTCCAGAGGAGCAGGCGGAGGGCTCGGCGCCAGCCGCGCGGGACTGCCCAAAGGACTGGTCTTGGGACTGCCCAGAGGACTGCCCAGAGGACTGGTCTTGGGACTGTCCAGCGGACTGGTCGCCGTGCTGCGCAGAGGACCCGCTTTGGGGCCCGTCTTGGGGCTGTCTAGCGGACTGGCCTGGCCCAGAGGCTTGGGACTGCCCAGCGGACTGCCCAGAGGACTGCCCAGCGGACTGGTCTTCGCGCTGGGTCCGCTCGCTCCCGCCGCTGTTCCCTTCCCCTCCCCGGTTTCCACGGTTTCCACGGTTTCCACGGTTTCCACGGGGGGCTTGGGGGCGTCGAGGAAGAAGGAATCGCTGATGGGGTCCTGCAGGGAGGACAAAAACTTGGGCGAAATCGCAGACTTCCCCGCTTTCCCCGATCCGAACGTGCCCCGCGGAACCACGAATCCCGCGGGGACCGAGCCGGACGGCGGCGGCGAGGAGAACTTCACCGACAGGCCCGTCCCGCGGGGAGGCGGGGTCTGTGGGGACCGCGGGGATCGCGGGGACTGCGGACTGGCGGCGGGCGGCTGGAGCACTTTCGCGGGGGAATGCGGCCGGCGGGGCGACTGGGGCGGCTTGGAGGCCGGAACCGCGGGAACCGCGGGCGTTTCGTCGATCCGGTCGATGGAGGCGGAGAGAAGTGTTTGCTTCTTGCGGTCGATTTCCTTCTGGAGACTGTTGAACTTCAGGACTTGGCTCTGGCGCGCCTCCACCGGGTCGAAGCCCTTGTCTTCTTCCTCCGCGCGCCCAGAATCGGCGGCGCGCTCCTCGGGCAGTTGGTCCAGGGAGGTCGAGAGAACGCTCTGCTTCTTGCGGTCCATCTGCCGCTGCATGTCGTTGAACTTCATCACTTGGCTCTGTCTGGCCTCGATGGGATCGAAGTTCGCTTCCTCCTCTTCGGACCCGTCTTCCTTCAATTTGTCCATCGAATTCGAGAGAACGCTCTGCTTCCTCAGATCCATCTGTCGCTGCAGACTGTTGAATTTCATGACTTGGCTTTGTCGCGCCTCCACCGGATCGAAATTTTCCTCCTCCTCTTCGGACCCATCTTCCTTCAGTTTGCTCATCGAATTCGAAAGAACGTTCTGCTTCTTTCGATCCATTTCCTTCTGCAAATCGTTGAACTTCATCACTTGGCTCTGTCTCGCTTCTACCGGATCGAAGTTTTCCTCTTCCTCCTCTTCCGATGCGTCTTCCTTCAACTTGCTCATCGAATTCGAAAGAACGTTCTGCTTCTTGCGGTCCATCTGTCGCTGCAAATCATTAAACTTCATGACTTGGCTTTGTCTCGCCTCCACCGGATCGAAGTTCGCTTCCTCCTCTTCAGACCCATCTTCCTTCAATTTGTCCATCGAATTCGATAGAACGCTCTGCTTCCTCAGATCCATCTGCCGCTGCAAATCATTAAACTTCATCACTTGGCTCTGCCTCGCCTCGATAGGATCGAAGTTCGCTTCCTCCTCTTCCTCCTCCGACGCCTGCTCGTTCAACTTGCTCATCGAATTCGATAGAACGCTCTGCTTCCTCCTCTCCATCTCTCTCTGCAGACTGTTAAACTTCATCACCTGGCTCTGCCTCGCCTCCACCGGATCGAAATTATCCTCCTCCTCTTCCTCTTGAATGCGAGGATTGCTCGCCTCCTCGTTCTTCCTCTGCATTCTCTTCTTCTCCATCTCTCTCCGCACGTCTTCAAACCTCATCACTTGGCTCTGTCTCGCCTCCACCGGATCGAAGCCCGCGTCTTCCGACATTTTACCGCTCGCCATGCTTCGCCTCTTCTCCACTTCCCGCTTCGCGTCGTGGAACTTCGCGATCTCGCCCTCTCCCGCCTCGATCGGATCCATTCCTTCTCCCTCCGAACCGAATTCTTGGGCAGCCAATCGCATCAGCGGAATCGGAAACTGCCCTTTCTTCAGCGTCCCCGCGATTATACGAGGACTCGACACCAGCACTGACTCGTTCAGCGTCGATTCGTCCTTCTGCTGCTTCAGGGAGATGGGAGGAACCGCGGGGATCGCAGCGCCGGGACGAGAGAGCGCTTCTTGCCGCGGGGAAAGAGTGGAAGAGGAAGTCATGCTCTCGTCGAAGGAGAAGAAGCTCGGTCGGTTGTGCAGCGTGTCGTAGTAGTTCGTGCGAGGCATGCCAAGCATCGACTGGCGCAGAGTCGACGTGGTGTCGTTGTGATTTGTGTCATCTTCATCACTGATGTCCAGTGGTTCGCGGCGCGTTGCACGACGCTCAGGAGATGCTAAAGCGGTTGATAATGACGAGGGAGCCGGTGGGACAGGTGGAGCTCGCGCTGTGTCCTTTCCTGTATCGAATTCGTCAGAACTCGGAACATCCTTAAATTCCTCGGGATCGAAGCTGCCCTCGGAGAAATAGGAGACGTGTTTCTGTAAATTAGGTACTTCACTTGACTGTACAGAATTACGGCTACTGCCGCGTATCGAAGGGGCTAACATTCCATTTGTATATATATGTGTTCCGCTCACTAGTCATCATCGCCAGGTGTAGTCAACGTACTCGCAACTCTAGATTGGGAAGTGGTCGCTGAACTCTTTGGATTATTATAATAGTTATTGCCCTTCAAACTCCTGTAGGCAAAGTTAGATGTTGAACCTGTTGTTGACATTAATCGTAAACCTAGTTCGAATAGCCAGAATTGTCCTACCGGTATTCTAATAGATAGATCGATCGATATAGATGGATATATAAAGGTCAACTAACAAAAAATAAATAAAAAACGCTTCGGATAAAAGAATTGAAATGATAGTACTGGAATTCCCAAAATTTGGCAATAATCAGTACTGGGAGTTTCATTTCCAGTAAAATTTATCAACGATTGTTAACATCGATGGAGGACGATAAATGTGATTTTATTGGAGTACCAATTAACGTGTGATATAAAGTGTAGCATCCTGGGTGTGATTATGTCATTCCTGTTTTGAACAACCAAAAGGGATTGAGCAAATCATTTACTTCGCGTTTAATTTTTCATAACAAAAGCGAAATTTTAAAAGAGAAGGTGATTTACAGAAATGGTGCGTATTTCTGAGATATCAACGGTTATTTCTAGAGGTTTCGATTCGGCTGTGCCCAAAGGATACACAGATTTCGGTAAGTGTTCCTTGGTATGTGAATCCAACCCTTTCCCTTTCGGATCAGTGTTCTATTCAAACGGATGAATCAGAGCGCCGAGTTAATCCTCCTTTTATCACAAAATCCATCAGTCGAGTGCATCTTCTGACCAAGGATCTTTCTCCGATTCTTTATTACTATTCTCTCCCCCTCCGATCTCTTCCTCTCTCCGTTTTCTCCCTCCTCTCCGCTTTAGTACCGTTTCTTCTTCCGTTTTTGATCGCTAGAAATCAAATCCAATCGCATCTCAAATTACCATTTTACTCAGCATTTGTCCCAAATCGGACCCAATTTGGAATGGTCCTAATAATTGTATTGGTCCCAATAATTGTACTGGTCCCAATAATTGTACTGGTCCCAGTTACTCGCCTCACTTCCCTCACAAACTCGCTATCGGATCGCCTCGACGCATTGCCGTTCACAAAGGATGGAACTGCGACGTTTTCCTAGAGAACGGCGAAGAAGTCGCTTTTCCCCGCGGTTAAAACGTAGAAAATTCGAGTGGAAAACGAATCTCTCCCCTTCTCCTATTTCGTTTATTGCGTCTCCAGGGGCCTCATAACCGCGATTTACTCCATTGTTCGGTTTCCACGTTTCCTCTGATCCAGGTTCTCCCTTATGGTTCCTCGGTTTCCACGGTTTCCACGTTCTCGGAGTGCGTTTCGTTGATGGAAAGCCTGCAATCGCGTCCCATCGCGTTCGATCTTCTCTCGTTTCTCCTGTTTCCACGTTTCCACGTTTTGAGGATAGAAACGCCCAGAAGGACGCGGATTCCACGCTTCCCCGATTGAATCGCATGGCGGAAACGCCCCTGCTTCGTTTCATCGAATCGAAATCGATCGAATTCGCAGCAGAACCGACTTCCTTCGCCTCGGATCTCCAAAAATCGGCACTATTTTGGTCGACCCAGCAATTCGATGTTTCTCTCTTTCTTCCACGTTTCTCTGACGCGTAGGACCCGGACGATCCCACGCCTCTCCTCGACGTAATGAACCAATTCATCGAAGCGGGCGGTTCGCTTCTTTTCGAGCCTCCCTCGATTTCGGGTATTCCACAATTCGGAGCTTTTTTTTAATCATCATAGAGTGCATTCCAGTCGGTCTGCAGAAGTCGGACTTGGTGATCCCCGTGTGCCACGAAGGCTTCAACCGGTCGCAGATCATGCTGCAAGCGGTCAAAGCCATCCTTCGCTCCCATTTCGACATGACACAAATCGAGCCGATTTCTGTACTTTTGTTAACAAGGTTTCTCGTTATCCCGTGTAGACCTGCCATGGAAGCGAGAGCGGATTTGACCCCAAGGACGCCTTCATCGACCTCACGCCCGACAATTGGTATCGGTAAATACCCCCGATTTCTGTCACGCGAAGCTTCATCCACGCCTCCATGGAGAAAGACGCTTCCTATCGCGCGTACGAAAAAGTCCCTTTTTTTGGAATTCTTCAATCGAAGGTGTTCGGCGAGCCGAAGAACAAGCGCATGGGCAGCGTGCTGGCGGGCAGTTTGCCGCTCAATCCCAACGGTAATCTGAAGCAGGTCCAGGAAAACCGCCGATTTTTGTCAAACTATTTTTCGGGGGTTTTTTGGTCAATCGACGACTCGCAGTGGCGTTTCACCTCGCAGGTCCCTCACTCCCGCCTTGTGTTTCTGTGTTTCTGTCGAGCGTTCCCCGCGGTTCTGCGCCGCATCATGGAGAACAGCGCGGGAAGCGATCTGGGAAACGTGGTAATCGTCGGATTCCCGTGGAACGACCCCATGCAGGGATTGGCGGGAAACCACACAAAAACCGCGGCAAACGAAGTTAGTCGGAGAACCGCGGGAATGGACAAGGACGAAGACGAAGACGAAGACGAAGACGAAGAAGCGGTCAATCGGGTCATCTTCGCGTTTGACCAGTATTTGACCTGTCTTCGCGTGATGGAGGGAGACGCGACCTGGGGAACCGGGATTGCCTCCAGTTTCCCCGATCGGGAGTTTCGCGGATTCGAGGTGGAGGAGAAACTGGGGAATTATTGGTGGATCCGGTCGAAAAACGGGCGTTTTTTGGGCAGAATCGTGGAAGGAAGCGAAGAGGAGCGTGCCAAAAAACGGAGGTATTTTGAGAAAGTGATTGATCGACTTTATTTGAACAACTGTACGGATTGATTTCGGGGGATTTTGAATTAGGGCCCTCTATGGTCGAGTTCTGCGATATGTACCCTAATGTGACCCTTTCCTATTTTGGAGGAGAGGGTCAAGCTGACCTTTATGTACCCTAATTCTCTGCACTTCACTCTAGCTATTTGGGCCAGTTTCGAACAAAACCGTACGACTGGTGGAATGGGGAAAAGATGAGCCCAAATCCATCCTTCGGGACATTTTGAAGCAATTGGTCCTATTTCATAGTTGCGGTGTGGTCTTCAATAATCTATTTTGTGATTCTGTTTGACTCCAAAAATCGGGACTATTTTTTAGATCTTGGTATTTGACGGAACCGTATCTCTCTTCGACGTCACGCATGCCGTCGTCGATCCGTTTCCACGTTTGGTTCCACGTTTCGATGCTCATTCCCAGCTCCCTTCGACTCCTCTTCTCCCGCGGTTTCTTCGCCCCTGCATCATCTGGTGCGCGAAACTCCCCGGGAAAGTCTCCCGCGGGAAGTGCTCGACCGGATTGAGCGGGAAAATTGGCGGGAGCCCTCGGTGATGACGGATTTGATGCAGTTGGGCGTTTTGTGGTGGTTCGGCGACGAAAAGAAGCGCGATTTCGTGATGAATGTGAGGAAGGGGAAGGTGTGTGAGGAGTAGTCGATTCTGTGCGAAGGGGAAAATCGAATGCTTGCAACTAGCTTGATGCGATCGGTGTAATTTGTTTTTTGTGGCAGTGTTTGTTTGGACACATGGGAGTCACGTTGTACGCTTATTCCTTGTTTATGGGAGTGTTGATGGCTGTCTGGCTGTGTAGGAATTCGACCCCAATGGCCATTTTGTAGACACACCAATTACGCGAGATTTTTTATGCCAGTGGCTCAGAATTCCACTGGAAGGGTCCACTTATAAGTGAAATTCGATTTTTTCGGTCACCGTTAGACATGTTGAGCAGCAAGCGTTCATTCGTAACGAGACCAAGCGGTTGCGAGATTTAATCCCTCCTCAATTCACCTATCCAGAATACAAGGAATTAGATGACTATTTGGTTGAACGTTTTGGTTTGCCCTTTACCTATAAACGATTTAACGCATCTTCCTATCATTACATTCCCTATGGGTATAATTATACATATTTAGCACAACCCAAGAACTTTTGCTCAGAAGACACTTTCATGGTTGTTATGATTATGTCCACTGTCAAGAAACCCGAAGAAAGAAAAGTATTGAGAGAAACTTGGTTTAAAGACAAAGTGGTTCACGGACAAAAGTTGAAATATCTATTCATCGTTTCTTCCAGTCCTGATCCTGCAGTTAATGAAGCAATCGATAAAGAAGCATTAGAATACAACGATATATTACATATGGACCATTTAGATTCATACAACAACATCACAATGAGTATAATGAACACTTTCAATTGGTTACATCGAAACTGTAAATCGATCAAATACATATTGAAAGGCGATCCTGATTCATATTTCAACACTCCAAAGATCGTAAAATGGTTATTGGATCTACCTCCCGAGAAACAACATCGATTATATCACGGATCGTGTTTCATCACTTCATTTTTCATTCGACAGCCCGGTTACAAATGGGATACTCCTTATATAGTCGATCGAAACGATTTGTCATGGCCTTATTGTGTTGGTGTTGGTTATGTGATATCATCGGATTTGTTGGCTCCGCTCGTTTTAGCATCTCGTCATTATCCTTATATGCTTCGAACAGAAGATATGAGTATTGGACTAGCGAACTTGATGTTGAATGTGACTCCCTATCGATATCATGATTATTACTGGACGCCTCCAGAGAAGGCGATGTACCCAAGTATCCCGAAGTGTCGCTGGAAACGCTATTTTGGTTTCCACAAAGTTCCATTGAATGATGTGGCAAAGATAATGAAAGTATTTGAAGACCCAAATCTTTCTTGTTAAGAAGCGTGTGAGTGGTTATTGTGTGTTATTGGGATGTTTGTTTGTAATATGTGTTGCATATATTATTAGGTAGGTGCAAAATCGCTTGGTTTGATAGTTTACTCACTTAAATGTAATGATGAAGTCGTATATTATTTATTTTGTAATTTTATTGCTGGGTGTTTACTTCGCAATAGGCTTTGGTAGGAGATACATGTTGAAATTCACTCTAGACAACACAATTGCTAAAGTCATCATTCAGCAGTATCCATGGATTGGGGCCACTTCCGATGTTCCAATTAAGTTAGTTGGAGAAAAGGATGCCGAGGTTTTTACACTCATTGAAAAGAAAAGGCAGAAACAAATGATAGAGGAGTTGAAAACCAATGACCACATCCCTCCTCAATTTATCTATCCGGAGTATCAGCAACTTGATAAGCATCTAACGAAACGTTTTGGTTTGCCCTTTACCTATAAACGATTCAATGCTTCTACCTATCATTACATTCCCTATGGGTATAATTATACATATTTAGCACAACCTAAGAACTTTTGCTCAGAAGACACTTTCATGGTTGTTATGATTATGTCCACTGTCAAGAAACCCGAAGAAAGAAAAGTATTGAGAGAAACTTGGTTTAAAGACAAAGTGGTTCACGGACAAAAGTTGAAATATCTATTCATCGTTTCTTCCAGTCCTGATCCTGCAGTTAATGAAGCAATCGATAAAGAAGCGTTGGAATACAACGATATATTACATATGGATCATTTAGATTCATACAACAACATCACAATGAGTATAATGAACACTTTCAATTGGTTACATCGAAACTGTAAATCGATCAAATACATATTGAAAGGCGACCCTGATTCATATTTCAATACTCCAAAAATCGTAAAATGGTTATTGGATCTACCTCCCGAGAAACAACATCGATTATATCATGGATATTGTGTGATGTTATCAAAATTTGAACGAAATCCGAACAAAGAAAAATATGTTCCATTATTAGCATCTGCATCCGATATGATATGGCCTTATTGTGTTGGTGTTGGTTATGTGATATCATCGGATTTGTTGGCTCCGCTCGTTTTAGCATCTCGTCATTATAATACTATATATTATAATGAAGAAATGAATGTGGGTTTATCAAACATGATATTGAATGTGACTCCCTATCGATATCATGACTATCAGTGGAGCTTCTTGGATGAGAACATTTATTCTCAAAGTTCGGTTTGTCGCTGGAGAGAACATTTCGGTCTGAAGCATGTTCCCTTGAGTGACTTACGAAAAATAGCCAAGCAATTTGAAGATCCATCGGTTCTTTGCTAAGTGGTGTACTGTTATATAGTGTGCGTATGTATGTTTGTTAAAAAAGCTTATGTGAGCTTGACTTTCCTTGTTTTTAAATAAGAGAAGATGTAGTTGTCATACTAATTCCGAATGATAGTCGATTTTTTATATTTTATAGTATTTTCATTTGGTGTCCTATTGTCGCTGCTTACCAGTGAGGAATATGACGTGAATTGACTGTAGGTGACATGTTCGTCCAAAAGATTGTCAATAAATACCAACCATTATTCAAAACGGTTGATGTTCCACTAATATTGACTACAACGAAGGACGAAGACTATTTCGCAAAAACAACAACGAAGAGCCTCGAGGCGAATGGAACGGTTCCTGTCAAGGTAGAAAAGAATAGCCATTTACCTCCGCAATTTCTTTTTCCCGAATATGAACAGCTTGACCAACATTTAACGAAGCACTTTGGTTTACCCTTTACCTATAAACGTATCGATCCTTCTGAATATTATTACATTCCCTATGGTTATAATTATACATATTTAGCACAACCCAAGAACTTTTGCTCAGAAGACACTTTCATGGTTGTTATGATTATGTCCACCGTCAAGAAACCCGAAGAAAGAAAAGTATTGAGAGAAACTTGGTTTAAAGACAAAGTAGTTCACGGACAAAAGTTGAAATATCTATTCATCGTTTCTTCCAGTCCTGATCCTGCAGTTAATGAAGCAATCGATAAAGAAGCATTAGAATATAACGATATATTACATATGGACCATTTAGATTCATACAACAACATCACAATGAGTATAATGAACACATTCAATTGGTTACATCGAAACTGTAAATCGATCAAATACATATTGAAAGGCGACCCTGATTCATATTTCAATACTCCAAAAATCGTAAAATGGTTATTGGATCTACCTCCCGAGAAACAACATCGATTATATCACGGATCGTGTTTCATCACTTCATTTTTCATTCGACAACCGGGTGATAAGTGGAACACACCCTCAATTGTTGATAGGAATGACTTAACTTGGCCTTACTGTATCGGTGTTGGTTATGTGATATCATCGGATTTGTTGGCTCCGCTCGTTTTAGCATCTCGTCATTATCCTTATATGCTTCGAACAGAAGATATGAGTATTGGACTAGCGAACTTGATGTTGAATGTGACTCCTTATCGATATCATGATTATTACTGGACGCCTCCAGAATCCTATTTCTATAATTCTATCCCCAAGTGCCATTGGAAGAATTATTTTGGTTTCCACAAAGTTCCATTGAAAGACGTGGCAAAGATAATGAAGGTATTTGAAGACCCAAATCTTTCTTGTTAAGAAGCGTGTGATTGATAAAAATGTTGTAAGTTGAGAAGGTTGTTTGTTGAACTACACAATGGAAACGTTTGTAGGATACAAGATGTCTATTAGATCACAATAGAAATATTGATGTTTCCTTTGCTTTTGTCTTCTCAATCATCCTTATACAATGCAATTTATCAAGTAGCACCGTGAGATGATCACAGACTAGTTTTGAAATATCTATTCATCGTTTCTTCCAGTCCTGATCCTGCAGTTAATGAAGCAATCGATAAAGAAGCATTGGAATATAACGATATATTACATATGGACCATTTAGATTCATACAACAACATCACAGTGAGTATAATGAACACTTTCAATTTATTACATTATTAGCATCTGCATCCGATATGATATGGCCTTATTGTGTTGGTGTTGGTTATGTGATATCATCGGATTTGTTGGCTCCGCTCGTTTTAGCATCTCGTCATTATAATACTATATATTATAATGAAGAAATGAATGTGGGTTTATCAAACATGATATTGAATGTGACTCCCTATCGATATCATGAATATCAAAATAGCCTTCTGCGTGTCGCAGTATGTCCCTCTAGTTCATTGAGTTGCTCCTCACGCTTATTGTTATCTTCACTCATTTTCTCTTCAGCAAACATACGTAAACAATGCCTAATATACAACCAATAGCACCTAATGACACTGCCAACACTATCAAGACTCCCTGTACAACAATAAGTGGAAATGAGACTTCGGAATAACCACTATTTTGGGAATGAAGATTCTCTCATTTTTTTCGAATCGAAGTGGCTAGAGGAGTTTAACAGATGCTATCGGTCCTACATCGTACAACCACTATGCCACTGAAACTGTTTGGCTTGTCTCAAGGCCGTACCGTCGTTTTGGGGTTGATCACTCCCATTTCGAATGTACGTCCTTTGTCTTTTAATACTCCTGCGCAATTATCTCGTAAAGAGAGAGAAATCATGAGGTAGTGAGTTATGCGTTGCTTTCATCCAGACGAAGACATGTGAAGGAAGGTAACATGATTACCTATGTAGGAGCTGGTGTTAATATTACATTATCTGCTCTTAAAGTACTCCTGTATTGAATGTGCTATTCTAGGGCCTGTCCGGCTATTTATTACATTCTCCAGCGCTGATCGCAGGTTTTCTCTGTTTTGGTCGTTTTCCGTAGATGCTGTTCACAGCTTATCTGATTTAATTGCAGACGGCATGACATTGCTCACTGTACGAAAAAGTCGGCAAGATCCGAACGATCTCTACCCGTTGCCCAATTTGCAATGAATTACCGCTAGCTATGGTCACGGAAAGGTAGAAGCGCTAGGAGCAATGGGAATTGCGTGCTTTCTCGTTGGGACCGCTCTCCTCATCGGGTGGGACTCGTATTTGGCATTGAAAGATATTCTTGTGAATGGAGTTGTAAACGACTATGGAGCATCGAGCGATCTCCTCACTTATTTTGTTTGTTTTGCTGTCTTGCACTAATGCTCAGAGTGGTCCAGGCGTTTTAGCCTTGGCGATCGTGTCAAAGGAAATTTTGTTCCGAGTCACGAAGAAAATCGGAGAGCGCAACAAATCGAGTGTGTTAATTGCAAATGCTTACCATCATCGGTCCGATGTCTGGGCATCCGTTGTTGCCCTTGGCGGACTGGGAGGTAGCTATTTTGGGTCTGTTTGAGAAACTAAATGAATGAATAGAATACCTTGGTGCGATCCTGTGGGTGGAATCGCCGTAGGTGCATTGATTGCCAAAACAGGGTTTGATTTGCTTAGCGGTAACTACTATAATCTCATGGATAGGCAGGACTTGAACGAAAATGAGGAAATGACACAGTTTTGTATGGATTGGGGGAGTTGGTAATCATGAGTGAATGATGTCGGAATTCCTTGTTGCAGTCTGCGGCATCGCCATCACGGAGCGTTGGTGTATGTCGACATGACGCTGGAAGTGGATGATTTGATGACAGCAAAGAGTTTAATTGAGGTAATTATGGTAGAAGGAGAAAAACGTGATGAAGTAGTTGGAGAGAAGGGCGAAGGACTTACTGAGCGAGCATTATTCGGATATTCATGAAGTGTTGGTCAGCTTCCGGCTGAAGGGAGACTCGAATGACTCGGAAAACGTAGTAGTTGAAGATCCAATGGATTCGTGTCATTTTCTTTTTTGTTTTACAAGTTGAGAATAAAAATACGAAAACAAAGTATGAACTCTAGAGACTATAGAGTCTTGAGTGATAAAAATGTGGAGACATTCATTCTACGAGGATTTACCATCATTGTGTTGTTTGAATGTATTGTGTCCCTTATTAATACCATAATCCAATGGAACCAATATGGTCTGGTAGGGCATTCGTGTTTTTGCGAATTCTAGCTTCAAATATTTCTGAGAATAGTTAGTGTGTTTCTGTTCGCTGTCATCGTTGCTCACATTCTGTTTCCCTGGGTGTTGTGTCAGATTTTTGTAAGGTTGTTTAGGATACCTCTTATTTAGCGCAATTTGTCCTACTTCACTATTCTCTCCGGGCTTTGTATTGTGTATTGTGTATCGAGCCAATGCTCAGGCGTAGGAAGGGACTCTTAGATGCATTCTTTGAATACATTTGGCGTCGTTCCAGCCTGTATGTAATTCTGTCCTGCTTGGTAGTGATCGAAGCAGTTCCCCTCTTTCTTATTGTTATCTCGATTGTCTCGTGTGATGTGTAGGGAAATAAAGTGAATATTTGTGGAAAACAGTATACAATGGTAGCGTTGGATTGCCGAGTTTCATAGTTGTAGGAAGAAGACTCAGATACGCGAATGGAGCTACGCCAACTGATATCCCATACCTCATCAACAATTGAGCGTTATTTATAAGACATACAATTTGTTCTCTATTATCATCGTGGTTGTTTGGAATACATTTTGTGTTTGTTGAAAACTCTCTGCATGGGTTGGGGTGCGAGAAAATCAATAATCCAGTTTTTCCCACGTAACCCTATTCTGTACTTTTGCTGAGATCTACCAGAACGCAATGGATTGCAAAAACAAGTAGCTCGGAATGTAACACGCAAGCTTTTCACTGCTCCAAAAAGACATTCTGCCCAAAACTTCATTTCTAAATCCAAAACCTGCGCGCATATCCAGATCATGGATAGAGTAACACTAGCAGCGAAATGAAAGAGCAAAAAAAGTTCGGTGTCGAAAGTAATAGTGTTTGCTCCACTATGATAATCAACGACAACTGTACAACACAATAAAAACAGAGATAACTTGAATTATTTGATGAGTTCACCTGGAAGAACGGAGGCGAAGGGAAAGAAGAACGAAGGGCGAAGGCCGGGCCCCCGACTCTCTCCATGCCAGTGGTGTAATCAAATAATATGCAATCACTGTCGTTGCCCTGGACAGAAGAATTGCAACCATGCACCTGGGGAGATGTGCCGGAATAGTCGTTACAAGAGGCGACTTGTTTGCAATCCGTGTGAGAAAAACAAATTGAAAGTCCGACAGGAATCAAAGAAGCGCGAGGGAAATAAGCCCAGTCTGTGTGTTTTGAAGAATTGAGTGCTAGGCAGTATCCAACAAACAACATGTAGCGTTATGCCATCCCCTGCGCCCAGTGGTATGTCGAGGGATGGAATTGTGTCTGTAGCTCTCTCTCCGAATCCAAACGTTGCGATTTTGTTCTACTCGACGAACGCTCTTCTGTCGATGATCTCCTTTTCCTATTTTCAAGGCTCGCTGCATGATCTCCGGTGTACAATACTCAGTATGATGCTCCTGGTGAAAGAAGCGAGTTTCGTGTTTATTCAAGACAAAAAAATCATCGATTTGGAAAATGTTGCTCTTTGTGTTTTCCATCATCTCTAGGAGCCCAATATATCTGCGAAAAGCATTATCGAGAGCTACCAGTTCCAATACCCGATCAATTGCTCTCGATGCATTTTCATCTACTCCCAGCGGAAGCCTGCAATTCCAGCTCCATCGAATCCGCTCGTCGGAGTCAACCAAGAAATCATTCAAAACAGCTGGACGCCTCCCGCGCCCATCCTCCTCAACTCCCAGCCGCTTCTTTCGTACGGCCAGGCGCCACACTCCGAGAATCCTTCCAAACCCACACTTACCGAGCCTTCCCTCCAACCCACCCCAAATGAATCCACATCATCCAAGCAGCCTCCGAGCCGCGACTCGCTGCAATGGGGAAATCTTCGCACTTCGGATTTATATCTGCGTCACATCGACAACACATCCCCTTATCCACCCTCCATGCCCCATTCTTCGGATGTGCACACACAACCCCCTTTCCGTGATGAGACACACAGCAGCGATTTTTTACTGAACGTTGCGTCGTATCCTAGGAACTCATCGGGGGGCGAAATGTCATACTGGCTTCCGTTCCCCTCGTATAATTTATATCGGCCTTCGAGTGGGTCGGCTGATATGGGATGGCCCGTTTTCCAACGCAAGACGGAAGAAAGTATGGTGTATGCCGGGATGAATGGTTTGGAGGGAATTGGAAAGGTGGTTTTGAACGGCGTCGGAGGCGACGGAGAGAAGATGGGAGACGAGGAGGAGAGGGAAAAGAAGTCCTTTGACCAGTTTGCGATGTTGGTGAATCATTCGGAGAACGACCGGAAAAAGGAAGCGGAGAAGGAGAAGAACAGGGAGAGAGAGGAGAAGGCTGCCAAGAAAGAGTAAGAAGGTCATTGTAACGCTCTTACTGTGGGTACTATTTTGCTGTATGATTTTAATACATATATTGTTCTTATGGTGTGTTTGTTGGAGGCATGTATATATATATATAGAGAGAGAGGGAGGTATAACAGAACCTTTGGAAGAGATTCCAAGTAGTGGTTGATTGAATGAAATATAATAGTTGTGGGTATTCAACAATTATTTTTTGTAACCATACAATGGAAAGCAAATCGTTCATAAAGGCAAGTAATCTCCATCCCTCTATTCTCCTCCTCTCTCTCTACAATGCACCATCCCTATAGCTTCTCTATCGCACCTCCAGAGTCCCCTATCCATACGTCTGTCTCGAACAAACACCCCGCCTGGTTGTTTAGAGTCTCTTCAGCACCATGTCCTCGGGCACGTCCTCTCTGCTGATCACGCTCTTCACATCGTAGACCAATTTCTTCGCCACCGAGGGCTTGAACAGGGCTCTCAGATCCTTCATCGACATCGACGCGAACTCACGATGCGCCACCGCCATCACCACGGCGTCGCAGTCCTTCACCTCGCTCAGATCCACCAAATCCACTCCATAGAATCGCTTCACTTCGTCCTTCACCGCCCACGGATCGCAGCACACCACCTCGATCTCGTACTCCTTCAGCTCCTTGATGATGTCGTACACCTTGCTGTTGCGCGCATCGCAGCAGTTCTCCTTGAACGTGATGCCCATCACGCACACGCGCGCGCCGCGCACCACCAAACCCAGCTGCACCATCAGCTTCACCACCTTCGTCGCGATCCATTCGCCCATCGAATCGTTCAGCAAACGGCCGTTCTGGATGATGCGGCTCGTGTAGCCCAGATTCTGAGCACGGTACGTCAGATAGTAGGGATCCACGCCGATGCAATGGCCGCCCACCAGGCCAGGGAAGAAGTGCAAAAAGTTCCACTTCGTGCCCGCCGCTTCCAAAACGTCGTGGGTGTCGATGCCCATCTTGTCGAAGATAATCGCCAACTCGTTCATAAAAGCAATGTTGATATCACGTTGCGAGTTCTCGATTACCTTGGCGGCCTCAGCCACAGCGATCGAGGTGGCACGGTGGACGCCGGGCTCCACCACCATCTCGTAAACGGAAGCGATCTTATCAAGGGATTCCGCGTCACAACCAGACACAATCTTCTTGATGGTGCGGAAGGTATGGACCTTGTCACCCGGGTTGATTCGTTCAGGCGAATATCCCAGCTTCCACTCCTCTTTGTATTTCAAACCAGACAGTTTCTCAATAATAGGAATACACAACTCCTCAGTCAAACCTGGGTACACGGTGGACTCAAAAACGACATAGTCACCTTTACTCAGCACCTTTCCGATTGTTTCAGAAGCACCACGAACAGGACCCACATCAGGAGAACGGTCCTCGTTCACAGGGGTAGGAACAGCTACAATATAGAAGTTGGCACAACGGATATCCTCCATTTCGCTGGTCACAGTAAGATTACCACCCTCAAGAGCCTTTTTCAGTCTGTCATTGCCAACTTCCTGCGTGGGGTCCTCTCCATTTCTGTACGCCTCCACCTTGGGAACACACAAATCATACCCAATGACTTTCACTCCCTTTTCAGCAAAGGCAACAGCCATAGGCATACCCACATAACCTAAACCAACAACACAAATAACAAGATCCTCCATTGACTTTATTTTTGTAAAAATAATGACTAATGGCTGATCATTCGACCAGTTAAACTGCTTGTGTGCCAAAACCGAGGAATAACCGCGGTCAAAAAACCTGGTTATTTACAACAAACATTCTACAAAATGGAATAATTTCCCGAGATTATGCCCACTCTCACACCTCCGTGGGTCAACGGGGACTCGAAAGCCATTTTCTCGGTCCGCTCGATAGGAATGACACACTACCAGTTTAAATACAAAAGTGCTCGAGATTACTTGTCCAACGCTTTTTGCACACCGAACTTGCAGTGCCGCATGGAATGGGAAGCCCGGATGGTTGCACACCAAGTGTTCAAATTGAATATCCTGGTCGTGAATCTCGGTCTGTGATTCGATCTGGGGAGGATAGCAGGCTTCCGATCTGCTAAAGAAATCCAGGAAATAGCCATCGCGCAGAATAATCATCTACATCGCAGCTCTATGCGGCCTCTACCTGCCGTTCTCTCCATTTCGTTTCCTCACATGGCAACGGGCAGCAAATTTTCAGTGTTTTGGCCGGTTCTCCGTTATCAAGCTGAACATGTACATTTGTCAAGCGAAGAAGGCACGAAGCGTTTTCCTTCTCCTTTTCCTTCTCCATTACATTTTCTTGTTTCTCTCTGGCTTCGTCGCCGCATTTTAGCGTGAATTCCACAACCACCGGTCGATGATCGGACTTTCGAATTGCTTCGATCATCGAGTATTCGCTGCAAGGTGTCAAATCATCCGCACAGAGCGGCAAACTGTGCCATACAATGCGATCCGTGTAAGCGGGAACGCGCATCGTACCGTCTTTTGCTTTTGTTTGATAAGCGGAACAAACAGAACGGGAATCCAGCAGGATTCCCTTCTCTTTTTTGTACAACTTAAAAGTGGGCGGGAACGCAATTTCCGCTTCGTTAAATCCAGAGAGCAGCTTATGCTGAAGCGATGGAGCGATTCCCTACGCTGCCTTGGCTGATCGATTGATGAAGCTCATCGTGAGCGACGATCGCGTCGTAGGATCCCTCCTCCATGCCCTTCTCGATCTCCTTTAACACCTGATTGCTGTCTTTCATCGATAATCGGAAGTTCAAATCTCCCGCCATGATCTGCACATTCATCATAAAATTTTAAAATATCGATACCACGTGATGGAACATGCACGGAGCCTCCCAATTTTCAAAGCCAAGCCATCCTGGCGCATGGTCCGTCATCGTCTCGCACGTATCTTCCACGCGTTTTGCGAAGTAGCTGATTCCCTACGCCTCAAATCTCCAGAATTTCCAGCGAACTTTCAAATCGGAGGCGAAATGCACTGCGATGGCCAGGAGCGTCTTATTTCCTATCCGCAGCGCCACGGCTGCGGAGCCCTTGTTCCCTAGCTTGCAAACGCCCACGTTAAACCCTCTGCACACTTCACTCCCTGTACACAGCGAGAATCGCTCTAAAACCGTGCTACGCACGAGCGTGATAATGCTGATGTCTCCGTGGAAGCCTAGCAGACGCAATCGACTTCCGATCGAGTGCCACTCGACTACATATTCGTTATTGTGATTTAGCGTTTTGGTGATCGCTTTGATGGATTTGCGCGTGTTCATGCATTCCTGGAGGGAGAAAATGTAGAGGTCCCTGTTTTCTGGAATTCCATTTTTCAGGTCGATTTCGGAAATCGATTTTTCGCCACAATTAAACGAAAACACAAAGACGGAAAGGTCTTGCGGGCTTATTTTCACATCGATGTCGCTTCTACGCATCAGGTAGAAGCGTTTTTTACGCACTCTTGCAATAATGAGTCATTCAGCGAATCGACATGGCGAGGATTGCGTCGAATGAACAGAATGAAATAGGTGGTCCAGAAGCAAATGCTCGTAGTGGCAAACCCATAAAACACGTCAGACGATGTGGTGGACGTGGGACGACGGACATTGGACACAAGCGCAAGAATGCCGAGGAAAAAATAAACGCTGCACAGAGCGATCAAGGCAATCGTTTTCGTGCAGGCGTCGCGCTGGATTTCGCGAGGCACACCGTGGAGAAGGAGATGCCGCTTCATGCGGATGTAGAATGTGATTTGAGCGAGAATGCAGAAGAAAGTGACCGTGTGGTTCACTAAAAGATCGCCAAATCCTTGAATCATGCTAAGAGAGAGCGAGGGAGGGAATGGGAGTGTACAAGTCATGCGTGGATTTGTGGTTTGAATGGAAGCAAAAATAGAGAAACGCGAGGAAAACGGGGAGAAGAAAACAAAACCATTGATAATGTTTGTTCTAAGCGTGAGGAGCAAATCGAAACGGATGATACATGCTGCCTATTGTAGAGAGGAACAAGAACAGAGAAGTGGTGGATCAAGCAAGTAATCCAACACATCCAAGTGAGACGCATCACCATAACGACCCAATCAAATATATGCATTGCAAACCCTCTCAGATTCAAAATCCATCCGATAAGGCAAAACAATGCCAACAGTGAAGTCTACATAAAAAACACAAACAGTGCAGGTTACGGTAAACGTCAGCCTTTCTAGAATTTTGTGGCTCATTGAATCCTTGTAGTGGGGTCTTTTCAATAGTTTTAAACACTGTGTAAGAAGAATTGATAAAACACTACGACCAATGATCCTACGACGGATAGAGAGCTTCCTATCCAAATTAGTAGATCAACAACGAATGGAGAAATCATTTTTTGACGAATGGAACAAAACAGAAAACAATATGGGTGTGTTTCTTTGTTATTGGAAATGTACAGAGGAAGTACATTGGTGTGGCAGCGAGAGAAGAGGAAATAATCCGTACGTCAATGTGTGTAGCATCGAGTGTGGGTGAATAATGGTGTGAATTTGTATTACGGTATGTGGTAGAATGATTCAAAAGAAAAACGGAGTGAAGTGTTAATTTGAACTATGATTTGAAAGTCATTTGTGTGTGTCAGATTGATTCTATGAATCTCCACTCCTTTCTCTTTTCTCGAACAAACACATCGCATGATAACAACAACAACAACAACAACAACAACAACAACAACAACAACAGCAATAAAAAACAGCAGCAAAGCAGAATCGAAAACTGCCACTCACCCTCACCGCTTCCCTAATTCACATTCATCGAAGACTCCATCGGCTGGTTCACCGCTTGGCCCGTGGGCACAGAAGCATTCATCGGCACAGAGGGATTGGCCGGTTGGTTCACAGGCACAGAAGGGTTCACCGGTTGGTTCATAGGCATGGATAAATTGGCCGGTTGGTTCATGGGTTGGTTTATAGGTTGGTTCATGGGTTGGTTTATGGGCACGGAAGGGTTCATGGGTATTGGATTCAAGGGCAGGGACGGCGCACCCGGGACTTCGTTCCCTACCTGTTTCCCCGTTTCCACGGTTTCCACGGTTTCTCCGTTTTCTCCGTGGAGGGCGGCGGCGGTAGTGTCCGGACTCTCCAAGCAATCGGCGGGGTCCAGCAGGAGCGCGGCATTGGGATTATTGTTCCTATTGTTGTTCCCGTCGGCGTTCTCCGGCGCCTCCATGCGCGCGAGGAGCCGGCTGAGCCCGTCGGAAATGCCTGCGGAGATGCGGACGGCGCCGCGGATGACGACGAAGGACGCGGAGCGAAAGCCGGAGGCGACTTTGTCTTTGGTCATGTTGTCGCGCAGCCACTGCTCCGTGTCGTGCAGGCCGTCGCTCATGCGGTCCTTCAGCGATTTCTCGGCGAACCAGGCCTTCACGTTCGCCACGCCGCGGTCGAAGCTCTCCTTCAGACTTTCCTTCACTTTGTATTTCGCGTCGAACTCGTGGATTTCTGATGACACCATCGTCAGAAAATCGCTTCCAGGGGCTGCTGCGCTTTCACTGCCCGCAGTGCTCGCAGGAACCTCAGTTGCCACATTTCCGGCAGGGCTTGTAGAGAACGCAGGCTGCGCTTCTACAGGAGGATTCATAGCGAGAGGAACCGGATTCGCTTGGGTTGGATTCGCTGGAAGGGACATGGGGAAGAGAGGTTGCGGTTGAAGAGCTGGCTGGCTCACCTGACTCTGCGGAGCAGGTGCAGCCTCAAAAGCAGGTTGCGAGGGGGCAACTTCCTGCGAAGCAGGCATTTGACCCACCGTGATGGTCACTTGTGGATTCGTTGCACGAATCGTGTTGTATTCTTGAAAGGTACTGTTAAAAGTCATATTGACCCACTGAAGATCATCCCCTGTTACCGTATTTCGCAATATGTCCAATTGATTCAATATATTAATGTAACTAGCGATCATTTCCATAATCCTCTCCTACTCAAACAGACATTGTTCGATAGCTCCCGACAACTGATGCAATCGGGCTTGGTGAATAGCATTCTCAATCTCAGTACGAAAAGACATAATGTGTATTAAAAAAATAATGAATAATCGTAAAAACACTCACTAGCAAGTACGAAGAATCTGTTCATCCATCGTTATTCTACCCAATAAGTACGGAGCCATTTGAGCCGTAAAGCGTACAAATAGTAAGAGAAAATATCGATATCAATAAAACAAGGCAAGAGTCTAAATAATGGTATACTTCGAATCTCCTCAACTCTCCAAAATCCTTTCTTTTTCTTTACTTCTCAGGTCCATACGGTCCATCCTGCATCTCCACGCTGGTTCCCTGACTTCGATCAAAATCAATATTCAGAATGCTTCCCATCATCTTCAAATCGTAAACCATGGTGGTCAAGTAAAACATTGTGCACACTACAGCCACAAACTACCCTTCATCCCATCCATCTTTCATTACCTCTCCAAACCCGCGAATTGGGTGCAGAATAGGGCAGTGGTCATATTTACGAAGCAAAACAACTACAATAAAAGCACCACAACAGACCGAACGATCTTGCGTGTATTTCTCGCCCTCCTTCTGAAAGCAAAATTCCTCTTCGTAATTTTGAAGACACTCCTCCATCGACATTCCTTGTGCTATTCGTAAGCCATTCCACGAGGACCTACAATGACATGGTGCGTAGGAGCCTAGCACAACGAAATTGATCATTCCCAGGCACGACAAGCCAGATAAATACGTTTTGAACATCAAGTACTTGGAGTCCTGATGCTTGCCACGGTAGAGGGAGGACGCCACGATGAGAAGCTGAAGGATTTCCATCAGATTTGTGATAAAAACCCAGGTAGAAGAGAAAACGGTGTGCGCGTTGGGGAAATTATCCATGTCACAGAGACTCACTCCGATGACACTAAAAATGCTGTACAAAAAGAGTAAATAAAGGATCTAGTGCTGAAATATATATTTAAAAGCTGTACCACTTGGAAGATGTTGTATATCACTCGAGTAAACATGCTCTTGAATAGTTTTCCATATCGAAGAGATGTTTTCAAATAATTTGTTGAGAACAATAGACTGGGGATACACCCAATCGAACATCCTGACACGAATATGAACTTATTGATACCGCTTCGAATCACTTCAGAGAAATAAGGATATAAGTTTCCTCCCTGAAATCTTAAGTTTAGACTACAGTCAACATCCGTACTGATTCATGAGGGGAGAAATGACGGCACAGATAATACCCGATATCAGGCATCCATATGCATAAATATAGGCGCCGTTCCAACTCATCCAGGACATGAGGTGGCTGCGTCGCAATTTTCTGTCCAGATATTTCTCGACACGAATTGCATTGTTGTGAAAATCCAATTGGGTATTCCTTTTGGACTTTACGAGATGACTGCACGAACTCATTGTCATTTTGAAACCTAATCAATTTCAGTACCACGACAAATCGAATATGTAGCAAAAATGTCCTATCAACAGAGAATACTGTAAATAAAACGAATGCAAATCCTATTCGCTGGAGCATTCTATTTGTTCTATCAACTATTTTAGCCACAAGGTGTCCGTTTTTTCCATGTACTGTGTTGAACAGATATAGATTGTACCTAATACTAAGGTGTCTTTGCTTTTTTTCACTTCATTTGTAAGTGTACCTTTGTACATGCCTAGCTGCTTTGTTGAATGTGATCTGAATAAGAACCGATAATCGTGCTTAGTTTCACACTTTGAACCCTCCTTATCAAAACCATCTATCAACTTCTTTTCAAATACGACAATTATAATAAGGGCCAAAACAGATGTTGTTGTGATACAAATTTAGTGACTTGTCGGTATGGCCAAGTTGTATCACACTTTTTCTCAAACCAGAATAGTATGCATATATATATATATATATATATATATATTGGCATAGAATCTGTCTACATGAAGGAAAGGAAATTAACATGTAGATATCCATTTTGTTCACTTCCACCGTTTTCTTCATCCGTACAAACTGTTTTTCGAGGCAAATTTGCTACCAGCAGTTAAAGTTATACTGCCATTTTATAAATTATGTGTCACTCTTGCATCCATTACATCTAACACAATTTCAACCCATATTTGATCAATATCTATTTACGCCAAACATGGCTTTTGAGGTGATATAGGTAATTCTAAATAGCTACGATATTTTCTATTTGTAACAATCGTTTTGGAGGTTCTTGTTTATACTCTTTCTATCTATAGTTATTTTCATGATCAATAGACATCTTTGTCTATTACTTTGGCACTCAATCTTTAGTATAGTCCACATGAAGGGATTTGTGTTGAAACATAATTTAATCATGGATTCTGTATAGAAAATGACTCCTTTTGCAACAGAAGATTAAATTGTTGAAATGTAGGTTCACAAGGACTGATTTTCCTTTTTATTGAACTAGTAAAGACGACGAGGAAAAGTATTGCTGACTTGCATTGTGAAAGATGGAATACGATGGAATAATCACTGAAATAATACTCCCTGACAGAAATACTGTATACATAGACTATTCTTGTTTTTAGTATGGTAGAAGTAGTATATATATATATATATATATATATATATATATATATATATATATATATATATATATATATATTCCTATGAGTAATAATATGTACTGAAAGGAAATAGCATAGGTTTTGAACAAAGAGCCAACCTTATTTCTTCTCTTTCTACTTCTCGTTACCCGCTATGATTCTTTCATACCACTTGGGCTTAATATAGGCACGGAGAGCTTCGGTAATATCTAACAATCGCTTCAACAAGCAAACAAGTAATACTTTGCACTGAGTGTGTTCGTACATTCTGCAACGGCGTAAAGCTCTCTTCCACAGGAAGACTCACATTTTGCAGATTTGGAATGTCTACAGTATATAAACTATTGATTCAAAAAACGACTTTCCAGTATCAACTTTCGAGGATACAAAAAGCTATTCTTCTTTGCCTCGAGAGAAAGCAAGCTAGGGAGGTCTAGATCGCGTTACTCATTTCGTTCCTTCTTTGTACCTTTCATGGTTAACGAACAAGAGGAACTGCTCGGCATTCCAACAAGAGAATAGTCGCCGAGGATAATCGATTGTAATCGAGGCAGATCTATGAATCGCTCTACAGTTTTCATATTGAATACTCTCAAGAACAGTAGTGAGTGGCTGATTGAATGTCTGGAATCCTAATTGAATCGATCGAAGGTGTGGAAGATCTACGAATTGACGCATTCCTAACCATTCCAAACCTTTAATCACAAATGAACCATTACTGAAATTGCATGACCTCGATGCCAAATCACCGATTTTGATTTCGCACAATTGTGGCAAATTCTTCAATTCAAAGTCGCCAGCGAAATCGCTGAAACTGTAACGGCCAATCTCAATGGATTCCAATGATTTACAATTCAAAACATGGAAGGATTTCGCCTTATTATTTCCATCGGCATTCTTTGCTTGCGTGAATGAATTGCTTCCGATTTTGATCGTTTTCAATCGATTCAATCCATCGATTTTGAATGTTTGCACTGATTCAAAACAATCATTGCCGATTTCGATCGATCGAAGGAATGCAAACTGACTAAAATTGAGTTGATTAAACGAATTCCCGCAATTTGCTGAAATCATCAGATCTGTAACTTTCAAATTCACACTACTCATCTCGTCGTCATTTCCCACTCTCACATAAACAGGAAAATTGCCATCTCGATTAATAGGAACATCCAATTCCTCGGATACATATTCTGGTAATTTTGAATACCATCCATCAATCAAATCTCCTCCACTCACTTCCTTTCCTTCCTTCCACTCGCCGGCTCGAACGGCAATTCCGCTATTTCCGTTAATTAAACATCCCTGGCCTTCACGAACAAATGTCTCGGTGTTTTCATCATAGTGAAACCCGCCTGTATAAACCGGAATTCGTTCCAATGGATTCAAATTATCATTTTCATTACTCTTCAATTCAACCATTGTATCCCCATCAAATAGGCGAAATACTTTGATTAGAGTTCCTTTGTTCCAAATACCCTCCAATACGATCTCTCCACTATCTTCTTCATATTCAATACCCCAGCCGTCTCTTTGTAATTCTTTATTAAACAGACCGAAATATTTCAGCTTCTGCGTTCTTGCAGACCAAATCTCCATGCGAATTCCTTTCTTGGTATTTACCAATCGATGATAGTCCATATCCTTCCAGATATCCTTGAATTGTTGGCAGTACTCCACTTGTCCTCTGTAATACTTTGTTACCATCCCTACGCGAACTCCCTGCTTGTTTTCTTTCCAGTGCAATTTCAATATGCTGTTTTTGTATAGATACACATCCCCAGCAGGAGACTTTAGTAAATATTCGTTTTGATGTTCTCCTTGGAAAAAACAAACCGTATAGTCAATTCCGTTTTTTGATATGGTTTTGTGACGAGAACCGAAAATATACCCGTCTAATAGGAGCTCTGAGTCGTGTTGTTTGACATTCGTAGCTTATCGTTATATTCCTACATTTTTAATACGCTTGCTCTCCATATCGTCTTATTACAATGATAATTATCAAAGATACAAAAAATGAGTACAAACTAATATGCAACGCATTTTACTCTTAGTATGGTAACTGTGAATAAAGGCAGTCATTTGTGTATCCTTTGGAGTAGATATGATGATGATGATGAATCGATCGTTCCAAACTCTATGGAATTTTTGTTTCTTTGAGTATGGCACCCCTTTCTTTGAATGATTTTGCTTTTATTAATATATATATATATATATCCTAGATATTCCATTCTATAATACTGCTAAGGAGTAATATCCTTTTTTGTCCTGATTGGCAAGGAATGGATATTAGGGTGAGTATTTTAATGGAAAACTCATAGCTTATCACGTGATGTGAAATTTTCGGGCAACTCTGACAAAATTACCGTTAGAATACATTTCGTCTCTTGTGTATAAACTCTATCAATTGTTCGTTGTTTCCAGTCTCTATATTACTGACATTTTTTTGGGCATTGATCATTATTAATAGACGAAGTTGTTATGTCTGAATTACTAC